CGAAGACGTTAGAAGAACTATATGATGCTTAAAGAGTCTCTAGAAAGATCAGAACGACTACTCTTACTTGTGACAGGGAAAATTGAAGGTTTACTGAGGCCCGCTTGGGTCTGTCGCCGACCAACGGGTTGGCAGGGTGAAAGTGTTTCACCTCAGTGTTTCAGTTGAGTCGACCTCTTTTACACGACATTTATTAAGTACGCATATCAGAAAACTTCGTAAGTTAGTTCTGTTAATACCATTAAACCTCCACCTATTCCCGTCTTGATCACCTAAGCTGATGAAGATTTCATCTTGAAAGCATAGCCAAGAGCGAATGTATACGCACATGACAGAACCCGACGAGCTTCTTTGGCTTTGTTATCTCTCCAAGAACGGGAAAAAGAAAGGTTGAAAAACAGCGAAACTCATCGGACCGCTCAAACGAGCGTAGCTCACTCGATATCTCGTGGCCGAGGCACCGTGGCTACTTATTGGGGCTTGTTATAATCACTTCATCGGTAAGGACACCACAGGGCAAGGTACGATCCAGACACTCTAAATATGAGAGTGTCTATATTATTTATTAGAAAGTTGTATCACCATTGCTAAACTGTATGGGCTAACATTGGAAATCTTAAATAACGCAATAGTCCACTAGTGGGGTGATTCATATGTCAATACTTATGATATTAACATTAGTAGAAACAGTACCGATAATTTGCTATAGATACTATAGATAGTGTCATAAAATCCTGTGAAAGAATAGCTGATTAGAGTGATATATGGTTGACAGCTGCACTACCGCACATCAGAAGTCGATGCGAAGGCACTGGGCGGGCTCACGTGTGATCGGTGGGCCTTCCTCTCTGCTGTTCATTGTAGGATTTTTGGTATTTATCAAAAAAGCATCAAGAAGTTTGCGCGTTCGTGTTTGGGCGTCCTGTGCGAGGGTAGAGACTTTTATATCAAAATCGTCGGCGCCGTGCTTTTGTGTCCTATGCGTCCTCAGTGGGGTTCTTAATCTGGTTTTTCGTTCGCCATCATTTAGGTAGTACGAACTGGTTGACGACGAGCAGTATCTGGTGGTATTTCTAATACCGCAACCGATTCCTCTAGATTTGCCCTTCTTAAAACGCAAGTGAAAAACAAGGCAAAATACATCGCTAGAGTGGAATACGATACAAAAGCATAGCGGAAACGATTTTGATATAAAAGTCATATGTTCGCACAAGATGTCCAAACACAAGCGCGCTAACTTCTTCAGGCTTTTTGGATAAATGCCAGGAACCCTTCAATAAATAGCAACAACGAATGCCTGTGACTGTAATCAGCTGTTCTTCACTAGTGGAAGTCACTTAAAAACGGCTCTGAAGAAGGCGATACTGCGGAAACGTCAGATACTGTTATATTGTGTTTTTGTTTGGAAGTAAACGTATGCTATATAACAACCTCGCGACTGTTGGGAAAGAAAACGATGCATTTATCTAAGTTATGTTTCAATGGATCTTGATAATAATAAAAGAACTGTAATGTTTTTGAATATTCAAACAGAGGTCAACCTTTTTATTACTGTATGTAGTTTTTTTTTCGTTTTAAGGAGACCTTTCGGTACAGTTGCCATATTGCACAAAACGCGCCTGTACTACAAGTAGCGATTGTGAAGGGGCATCCACCTACTGTCATCCAAAGAAGAAATCTTGTTGCTACATCGGCATGTTAATTGTCTCTGGTGGATTTTTCACGTAATTCTTGTTTTTCTAGTACATTTGTATTTTAGGTCTAAAACGAATAGATGGGAAAACACATGTAAACTCGACTGCCTGTCAGGGAACGTGCCCAGATAGAGAAGTATTCGGAACAAAGGTTCCACAATATTGTGCACTACCGAGCGACGGTTCGGAGACAGGAGTGTGCTTCCTATCACCCTATGTGAGTACATTGTCGTTTTTTTTCCGCGTCTTTCGACTATTTGATGGGTGGAATACTTCTAAATCAGTTAGGAGTTGTGGAATGGTTAAGTTTTTTAAGACTAGATCCAAGATTGTCTTTAGATTATTATCGAAGAAAGAAATCGCCGAGTAAATCCCGTTCTCAAGACATCATTAATCATTTCAATTGTGATGACACTGATTTTCGCATTTTTGGCGCTAATCATGTTTGTGAACTACCGCTCGAAGAACTTCTGCGACAAATACACTCCGAAGAAGAAGAAGGTACGTCATTACAAACCTAAGTATTTCACAGCGACTACCATGATGCTTGGTTATGTCAGAGAATGACCAGACATGCCTTGTATTCTAGTTCGTTAAATGATTTGAAAACGGCGGATAGCGCATTAGTTACTGATCATCAGAAAGTATCCACTTGGGAACGGCTTAGTCCGGCTGTCCTCAACACTGCAAAGAGAATTGACCGAACCAGTATTATATTCATAAAAAAGGCGAAATCCTCAAGAGGCAGCTGAGAGAATACGCGAGATGTTAGGAGAGCATTGCGAGTGTTGGTTGTGAGGAAACGAATCGAATGCAAGAAGTGCTGAGACTCGCAGAGCTGATGTGATAACGGGTGGTACAAAATTAAATAAATAAATAAAACGAAATTTGAAAACAGGTTTTTAGCACATTTCCCAGCGAACAACCAAAAATAGTCAAACTATTTCTGACTACGAGAAAGTGAAATATTTCATAAGAGTCGCTATACATCTCTTTTAAAGTATAAGTATTTCTTACATTATATTCCTCATTAAAATAGACCCTAGTGGAAAATGGATAGCGGAAAATTTCAAAGAACAGTTTCCATGTGAAGCAAATCGGTGGTAAATTGTCAGATTAGAAAAGTAAAGTACTTACTTACTTGAAACTTGAACGGTGCGTCCACACTGGTTGTGCGGATCCCAGCATAGTCTCTATTTTTTGGATATTTGCTGGTGTAGTTCTCTGGAATCTCGAAGTCAGCCTGGCAAAGTCTACCCCAGGTCTTCACCACCACAGGCAGTCGCCACGCTTGTGGATCACAAGGGGATTTGCCACTATGCGACTTTGATACCAAGACGGTGGTGGATTTTGGTATTGGTTTACTTAGCTAGGCTTCCTGATGGAACCATTGGTTTCTTTCTTAGTTTGGGAAACCCTGCCAGGGGATAAATCCCCGGCTGTGCATCGCAGCCCGGCACTTACGAACACCTCCCAGCCATGATAAAGCGGTAAACCGTTGGGAGGAAAAGTAAAGTTATATATATATGTATATATATGTGTATATATATATACATATATATATATATATAAGGGTGAATGTGGCGCAGTGGTCGGAGGCACCCTGCAACACACAAGTGAAATCAATCCACACGCCCATGGCCCACCAAGCCTTCTATCCTTCTGGTGTCGGCAAATTGGTACGACTTGTCTAGGAGGACAGCAGCACTGGCTCGAAATATCGGTAGGTCATCGCGACTCATTCTAAAGGCCAGATTCAATCACCTCCACACGATATTTAATGGAGTAGAATGCATGGCGCATCCCTAAGGGATTGATCAACGCCAAGAGTTTTATCCTTATATATATATATATATATATATATATAATATATATATTATA